ACTAAGGACCCATGAGAAAAAAAAAAAAAAACAAGGTAAACAGGTGGTGGGGGCGGCAGTGGTGCACGCCTTTATTGTCAACACTCGCACTCGGAGGCAGAGGCAGGCAGAGGCAGGCAGATCTCTGTGAGTTTGAGGCCAACCTGGTCTCCAAAGTGAGTTCCAAGACAGTCAGGGCTATTACACAAAGAAACCTTGTCTCCAAAAAACAAACAAACGAACTAACAAAGAAAAGTAAAATGAATATACTACTTAACCAAAGCAATTGTAGCCACTGCCACACAAATAACAAAGGATGTCAAAAGAATGAATCGTAATTGTTTATACAACAAAAAGACCTTGAAAGCTCAGCTCACATATCCCCTTAGCACATGATGCACCTGTATGCATACAGCGAAGGGATGGGAGAACACAGGGGCCAGGCCTTGTGGTGCAGGACTGTAATTTCAGCTATTCAGAGAGCTGAGGCAGGAAGAAGACCACAAGTTCAAGACCACCCTGGGCTACAGAATGAGTTCAAAGCTAATCTCGGCAATTCAGTGAGACTCAGTCTCAAAATGAAAAGCAAAGGGTTTGGGGATAGACCAGTGATGGAGCACTTTGCTTAGCATGTGCAAGCCCTGCATCCAATCCCCAGTACGAGAAAGGGGCAGACAGGGTTGGGGTAGGGGTGGGGCACACGCTGAACTCACGATGCTAGCTGAATGGTTAAGAACAAATGACTTAAACTTCAATGTACTCCAGTCCCCTCACCTGTTAACGTAACCACTTTTACACTGGTGTTGAGTGACTGAACTGACACTTAGAAGGCCCTGGACACACAGCCAGGCTGAGCAACGTCTACTAATAAACGTCAGTTCTCGGGCTGGAGAGATGGCTCAGAGGTTAAGAGCACTGGCTCCTCTTTCAGAGGACCAGGGTTCAATTCCCAGCACCCATATGGCAGTTCACAACTGTCTGTGACTCCAGTTCCAGGAGATATGACACCCTCACACCAGTGCACATAAAATAAAGTTAAATAAATTAAAAAATAAATAAATAAATAAACGTCAGTTCTCACCACTGCTTTTAAGTCTTTTATATGCACTGGCCCCCCTCCTCTTACAAAACCTCAAGGAAGACTGTTTGGCCAAGAACTGTCTTCTCCCTTCACCCCACAGAAGTTACCGAACCACCATATCTTAAGAAGCAACCTAGTTATCACTACATATAACCTCAACCACAGGCCAAACTGACCCTAAGTTCCCAGATTCAGTTTCAAAGAGTCCCCCTCCTGACATCTGCAAGTAGCTAGCCTTTCGACCTGGTGGGAAAAGAGGGATCCCCAACATTTATTCAACTTACAGGCAGAAGCCATGTGAAAATCACAGTGCCAGATGTACACTGAGCACTCCTGAGAAAGTAGCTATTGATGGCTGAAGCAAAGCAAGAGTTTTCAATTCTTTTACTAATCCAAAAAGTTTAAGGGCTGAAGCCATAGCTCAGTGGTTAAGAGCACTTCTTGTTCTTTTAGGGGACCAGAGTTAGGTTCCCAACACCCACATTAGGTGACTCAAAAACACCCGTAATCCAGCTCCAGGAGGTTTCCACATTGCATGATGCATATAAACTCATGCAGCCTCAAATAGAGAAATAAAAATAATATTTCTAAATACACAAATTTTGCAAAGTCAAAAACAGTAGTTTTTTAATTAGCCCAACTATTTTGTTTGTTTGTTTTGTTGAGACAGGGTTTCTCTGTGTAGCTTTGGAGCCTTGAACGCACAGAGATCAACCTGCCTCCGCCTCCCGAGTGCTGGGATTAAAGGCGTGCGCCACCCACTGCCCCGCTTAAGTAAATAGCCTAACTATTTAAACTTTTTATGACAAGACGTTTCTCTGCCATGATACGTGAAGGACGTGAATGGGAAGCATTTATCTTTGGTAATCCCTTCACCAACATGTCTTCAATACTTTTCTTGGACTTAAACTGGACTGCAAAACTACGTCCATTCAAAGCACACTGAATATAGCTAAGTGAAGTTTAAAGGCAACTAACCCTTCAGGAAAGGACAAGAAAACTAAACAGCTCCACAAGCAAGCACCGTATTTCTTTATTGCTTCTGGGCAAATATAATCTTAGATGTTGAGATACAACTGGAAAAACTAAACCTGGCAAATGGGCGTGGTAAAGTACGCCTAATATCGCACCAATATGAGGACAGGAAAGGACCGTGAGTGGGAAGACTAGCCCTTAGCAAGAGCATGCCTCAAAAAGCGAACAGAAAAAAATCAGACCTCTAGTGTGGCCTACCATTCCTTCTGTGGAACTGCCACCTAGACCTAGTGCACACCTCTAGCACTCGCAGCCAAGAGGCAGCCTGAGCCCTGGATAGCTTTGTTGTGATAGCTTTCCCACGTGGCGGCCCCAGGGGAGCCTTGTGCATCCGGGGCCTGGCCCCTGGCACACCTTAGGTGGTGTCTGGGGACCCCAGTAGCTCCCGGGGGCCGCCACGGTGTGATGTGGACAGAAAGGTGCCTGTCCGTGATCCCAGACGGGGCACCCGGCGCCCCTCGTCCAGCAGCCCGCTCGGCTCCAGAGGCCTCCGCCTGTCTGGAGTCGCTCGCCCTAGTCCTCCGCCCAACTCCCACGAGTGACCGTCCCCCCCAGGGCCCACCGGAGGAAGCGTGCGTTCGGGGAAAAGTGGCCCACGCCGCAGCTCCCCCTCCGCCCACTCGGGGATATCCCCGGGGCCGCCGCCATGTTCCCCCGCGCCGAAACCCGCACCTGACACCGCGGGCCGCGCACCTGGGCCACGCCGGGGGGAAACGCGCGACGTTGCGGGGACCCTGGAGAGAGAGAGAGACTGCGACTTCACCGGGGAGGGGGGGTCACAACCTGCTAGCAGAACCCGCCGCTAATTCATCCCGAAGCGGGGAGGCGTCCAGCCCGTCGCCTTAGTAATGCGTCCCGCCAGGCTCCACCCTGATTGGCTGCGGGCGCTGTGACGCAGCGGCGTCCCCGGCTACGTAAAAGCCCTTGTGCGGAGCGCCCCGCCCCTGCTCCGCAGCCCGGTGAAATCCCGACGACGTCGTCGTCGGCTAGGCTCCTTTAAAGGGGCCGGTGCCCAGATCTTGGTCCGGCCTGCTGCGGGTGACTGACTGGCTGAGAAAGCAAGTCGGGTAAAGAGCGGCGGGAAACCAGGATCGGAACTCAGTGAAGATCTCTCTCTCTCCGTTCCGGGGAACCCAGTTGCTGCATAAGGGATATCAAATCTAGAGCGCTCATTTGCAAGCCTGATTTTTACGCCCCAAGTCAAAGAGCAAATTAGCATCCAGCCAGTTCTAGAACCCCGGGTCCGGATGGCATAAAACTAAAGAGGCACCTTCGACCTCTGAGGTTGCCTAATGGAGAACACATTCATTCGAGGCACTAATTTACACTTGTTTCCTCGCCCCAAATCAAAGAGCAAATCCACAGTTCCTGGCGCACAACTGTTGCTAATTCAGCCGTGTTTGCTCAGCTCTCAATTTACACCCCACCCCACCCCCAGTACCCCCCACCCCCACCCCCGACAGTCCACCTTGTTTTTGGAGCATATTCTTCTTGAAAGGTCTTCAACTGTTGCTAATTCAACCTGGTTTGCTCAGCTCTCAATTTATACACACACACACACACACACACACACACACACACACTTTTTTTTTGTAGCATACTCGTCTTGAAAGGTCTTAGTGCCTTTCTACTGCCAAGGGTCTGAACCCAAACCTACTAGGCGAAGTGCCTGGGTTTAACCTCTCTGCACTTCCCCTGCACAATGCCTTCCTGCTGGCAAAATCTTTAAAAATAATAAACATCCACACATAGTCCACAGAACCCCTCAACAGCCACTTTTGTATGTTTATACTTTAATTTGTTTATTTAACATGGAACAGGGAGAAACGAATTTTCTTAGTACAGGGTAGCTTGTGTGGCAGTACATGAGTGTAACCTCAGCACTCCCTGTAGCAGAGCCAGGAGGATTGCCTCAGCAAGACTCGGATTGTTATTGTTGTTGTTGTTGTTGTTGTTGTTTTGGTTCTGTTTGTTTGTTTTTTCTAGACAAGGTTTCTTCATGTAGCCTTGGCTGTCCTAGAACTCGCTCTGTAAACCAAGCTGGCCTCAAACTCAGATTCGCCTGCCTCTGCCTCCCTAGCGCTAGGATTAAAGATGTGGCTACCATCTCCCCACAAAACTCTCAATTCTTAAAAAGGAGTACTAGATACTTTCCTGCACAGAATCAGCATTACATCTCCTTTACTTTTGTTCAGTATTTAAGTATTTGAGATGTGCCAAAATTGTATTTGAAAAAGAAAAATACAACAAAGGAAAACACAAAAATACAGTTATCCCTTTGAGGTTGGGTGGACCTCATTTTTTTTCTCTAAAATCGGAGTTATGGAATTTTTTTTTTTTTTTTTTTTTTTTAGTGTTTGTCATTGCTTTAGAGTGAACGTGGTGATCCCCCAGAACCCTCAAGGATTTTCTGTGACTTCTCTGAGGACTTGAGGAGACTGGCTGGACATGGCCCTTCTTCTACTGGAGAGGCCTCTTGTGCATTACAAGGGTAATGTGGCTGGAGAGACAGAACTGATATACCAGTCAAGACATCCAGCTGAGCCCTTTCCTCTTCTGACCCCTACTCATGTTGGACCCCAAAGTTTAGGGTCTCAAGTGGGTGCCCCAGGAACCCAGGTTCCAGTCCAGTTGATGCAATAGCAGGAGGATTTTATTGAAGCTTCTATATAGAAGGGCAAACTCTGCTCCTAAGAGCAAGAGCCGCATCTTACTGCAGCCACATGGGGGTTTTTAAAGGAAAAACCCACAAAAGCCATAAGATTACAATTCCCATACAATTTCATTTCACAAGATCATGGTCTGGTTATAGAGTGATCACAGAGGGGGTACAGTTACGTCCACAGGTACATTCTTCCTGAAACCTCAAGGGGGGGTATCAGGGCAGGAGTGGAGTTTACACAAAGGTCACAGTGGTCCTTCCTGGAACACCTGCAACTATCCCAGTCACAGTTGAGCACATCTCTTAACAGAAATCTTTTTACATTGTTATATGTTTGCAGGGGAGATTGAACAATGGCTAAGTCAGGTTGCCCTTGGAACTAGATTTTTAGTTTCTCATTTCCTGGTGCTTGAAGTTTCTCTTTTCCTGAGGCTTGGGGGTGTAAGCCTGAAGGATTAGGGTCTTTCACTCAGAAGTAGCTGCTCTCCATATGAACTGCTAATGGATAGCTCAAAGCATGCTGATTCTTAAACCTGAAAACATCATCCAAGTCTTATGCTTCTTTTCTTGGCAGGAAAAGGAGCAAGCTGCAGTAACTCGTTCTTCATTTGGTAGAAAAATGTCTTAACAGGACCAAGACCATTGGACCTCTTCACCACCCAAATGAGGTCTATGAGCTAGATAATAGCATAGTGTGAACATTATTTTCTTTGTTTTATTGTTTGCCCAGTGCTCAAGATTGAGTCCAGGACCTTGCATAGTCTTTTGTTGTTGTTTTGGGGGGTTTGTTTTTGTTTTTTGTTTTGTTTTTTTTTTTTTTTTTCAAGACAAGGCTTCTCTGTGTAGTTCTGGCTATCTTGGAACTCAATCTGTAGACCAGGCTACCCTTGAACTCACGTAGATCTGTCTGTCTCTGTCTCCCAAGTGTGCCCAGCTTGACCTTGCATATTCTAAGCAAGCTGAATTAGATCCACAGACCATTTTTTCTTGTTTTAAATTTTTATTGAGAGACAGACTCTCACTAAGTAACCCAAGCTGGCCTTCAGCTCACCAAGTAACAGGTTGACCTTGAACACACAGCCCTCCTTCTTCAGGGCGGGTTACCACCACACCCCCATGTGGCTGCAGTAACCACCACACCCTGCCATTGTCTTTGTTTTGCTACCTGTCCTGGGCTTACACAAGAGGTTAACAGAGGAAGGGCATGAGGAAAATCTCTATCCTCTTTTTCCATCTCTCTGAAGTCTAAAATTATTTATTTAGAGAATAACAATTGCTATTTAAAAACTTCATCCATGTAACCAATACTTGAATTTCTGTGAGCTTTAGCCAACCTCTAGCATGCATGTGTCTCATCAGGGCATCCAAAGTACTTGAGTTTTAGGTGCATCATACCTAACTGGCATGATGTTTCAATATGGTAGACCAATTTGATGCCAGGTGGTCTGGGTCCTTGGGAATACATTAGGACAGTGACAGGAATTTCAGCCACACCCCCATGGTTGCACATGCCCCGGGGGCAGGGGGGGGGATACTTAGTCATTTCCACCTAGTCATTTCTGGGTCATATGTCCTATGTCCTACATAACCCATGCGCTGCGTGGTCACATAAATCGCGAGCTGTGTGACCACGTGATCTATGCGTATGTGGGGAGTAGCCACGTACTTTTTTTTTTTCCCTTCTAAAAACCATCATACAGAAAACAGGAAAACAAGCCCAGCCTTGGAGCAAAACTGCACAAGTCTGTCCCATAGGAATGTTATCTTCCCCTGGACGTGAAACTGGTTTTGTTTACTGTCTTCGTTGCTAGGGGAGAGGCAGGGGGGAGTTCTGAGGGTGCTTGCTTAGCCTTCTCTGCTTCAGTAGATGTTACTCTTCAGGCTGAGCACCAGTGTGAGACGTTGGTCAACGTCTCAGTATATCCACACCAATGACACACTCAGGAAGGGGAGAAGTGGCCTCTAGGATGGTGGCAGGATCCAGGAGACCCACTAAGACAGACCTAGGCAAGGACTCTCTTTATTATCAAAATTCAGTAGTGTCCCATTCTAATGGTGGATAAGGGAGGGTATTGAAAGAAGAAAGGATACAGCCGGGCGGTGGTGGCGCACGCCTTTAATCCCAGCACTCGGGAGGCAGAGCCAGGCGGATCTCTGTGAGTTCGAGGCCAGCCTGGGCTACCAAGTGAGTCCCAGGAAAGGCGCAAAACTACACAGAGAAACCCTGTCTCGAAAAATCAAAAAGAAGAAGAAGAAGAAGAAGAAGAAGAAGAAGAAGAAGAAGAAGAAGAAGAAGAAGAAGAAGAAGAAGAAGAAGAAGAAAGGATACTTAGGACTCCTGGATAGTTCCAACTTAGATCCATTGACCAACTTTTCTCAAAATAAATAAATACATACATACATAAATACATAAATAAATAAATAAATAAGAGGACTTCTCTTCCCCCAGTCTGTGGTTATTTAAAACAAAAACCAAAAATAATAATGATGTTTGTAAGACACTTAGAAGAAGGACCGGAGAAACCTGTGTGCTGGGTCCTCATGTATAGCCGTTTCTCCTTCAGCCCTTGCAGTCTGTCTAAGAATAGGTTCAGGTCTTAAAATTGGGCAACAGATTATAATTCTCCATTGGGGTGATATCTGACTCCACCCTTCTACTTATCCTGATCTGCTGAGACTATATATTATACAGTACCCTTATTGTCTGCCCACATATCGCCTTCCTAAAAAAAAAAAAAATGTTATGTTCCATCAGCCATCTTCATAAGGTCAGGTCAAGACCCCTGGCTGCCACTTAGACCTTGCTATCCATTATGGTAATTAGATTGCCACTGCTTCTCACAGATGTCTCTGCTATTCTGGCATCTGTCATTCCCCCAATGCTACTAAAGGTTCCTGTTTTATAACATCTTTCCTATTAGCCCGGTCCTGCTTTTAGAAGACGAATGCCTCAGAGCTTCTCAGTGATATTGTTACTCCCAGGCAGAGCATCTCTCATCACCTTAATAAGCAGCGTCATCCAGGCCCTTTCTGAGGGACACAGTGAGCAAGAAAGTTTTCTAGTCTGTTGGCTGATGTTTTTGAAGCTTCTATAAGGTTTTTCATCCCTACATCCATGTTGTACCATGAGGGTTCTGGCATCTCTGTTAGTGTGGCCATTTGCATTGGCCATACTTAAAGAACCATCCCAGCAGTATGT